AAACAAACAACAAACCCAGCATCTTTTAACCAGCTGGTTTAAAGAGCAGCACTTTAAAAGGATATAAGAAACTAGCTCATTAAGCTGAAAGACATTTTCCATTCCAAAATTATTACTAAAAATAACTGTGCTCTTGAACTCTGCCCCTTCACTAGGGTATGGCCACTCGCCTGCTTTTTACATTCGCTTGGACAGCGGGTTGGAGACCTGAATTCCTGCTCTTTCTCCCCAGACTCCTCTTGCTCCTGTTGGTCCCGAGAGATGCTCTGGGAGCCAGGATGGCTCCAGCTCCCGGGGGTGCCAGGAGGATGCACAGCCATGGCAGGGGGATCGGGCACAGCTCAGTGATGGCTGTGTTAGTGCAGGGGCTGAGCTCCAAGCCACTCTGGGTTAAAACAGGGGGAAACTTCAGTCCCTCCGGACTAAGTGATGTATCTGAGCAGCTCCTCGGAGACATGCAGACATCTCTGAGCTGCAGACTAGAGTCGTTCCCTGCGATGCTGCAAGTCAAACCCCTCCCGGTTAAATCCCTCAGCTCGACCGCAGTGCAAGCAAGCGGGGGAAAACCAACCCACAAACACAGGGGAAGAGGAAGAATTATCTCAGGCTGTGAAGTTTAATGAAATCTTGAAGTTAGAGATCAGGCGTGCAGCCAGACAGAAGATGTCCTGGATCCTCAGAGCATGACTCTGGATCATGTCACAGCAGCTGACGGAGGCAAGCTGCAGCAACGCCATACCCAGGTGACCGCCGTTACGGTATCTGCGCCTGGATTTCGGAATGATCTGGGGGTCGGTTATGCATCCCGAGCCGCATCAACATCTATTTTACCTAGTCGGCATCCAACACCGCCGTTAAGTGTTCCACAGCGCGCTCAGGCTGCCGGCTTCAGCTCGGCAAGTGGCAGCCCCGTTAACAAACTGGGCAGCCCAGCAGGTCCTACGGAGACAGCCTGGCTCGTGCGAGGAGCCGCTCGCGTCCGGAGGCAGCGCTGGGGGAAGGAGAGGCAGGAGACGGAGCGGGGCCAGGCTGCGCCGGTTCCCAACGTCTGCTCCCTGTGAGCCGTCCAAGGGCGGCCGGCGGGAGCATGAGAAAGGGCTCCTCGCTGGTATTTCCTGCTCGCTGTGCGATCCGGCCGCGTTGCCAGCGATGGTGGGGCCGGGACTCGGTCGCAGGAGATAGCGCCGGGCTGCGATGCGAGACCACGGAGTCTGTAGTCTCCGATGACCCCCTTCACCTCTGAAGCTAACCCCAACTAATGGCAGTGCACGCAAGACGCCTTTATCCCAAGACCCTCAGTGTTTACTCCCACCTCTTCGCAAGACCTCTACCTCCCTAACTCAAAGGCAGTTTCCGCTTTTTCCCTTTAAAACATAAGGCTGCTGATACACGGACACCTTGGACCCTAATGAGTAACAGATCAAGCGGAGAGAGTTATGCTTCTGGATGCAAACAGCCACCCCCACAATAATAATCCCTGCATTAGTCAAGATCCCTGATGGTAATCTTAATTTTGTTGACTATCCGGTATTTAGTGGGAGACACAGTACAAAAACCAAAGCCTCACACAGCTGGCAGTAATTCATAGGGGAAAAATGTTCCCAGTTGCTTATTTATTGTAGCTGCAATACCTCAGAGCCCATGAGGCTCATTCACCGTGAACACGGCGTCAGGATCTATCCTAAATGTTTTTAACAGGGAGCAGCAAGAAAAGATGCACGCACCAGAAGGAATCTTCCGCTTCTGCAAGCTTTCCCCCCTTCAGGCCAAGCCTTGTAGCCCTGAAGCGATCCCCCCTCCTTCCAGCAGCCCCCTGCGGCCACCCCCCGCCTCTCGCCTCTGCTTCGTCTGCCCTGACACACGGTCAAGGTCCATCCCTCCGGCTCTGCTCTTGGCACGCTCAACTGGAGACCTGCCATGTGTTGGGATCCAACCCTTCCAGAGCTCCACCAGCTGCCCAAGAGGTCCCGTTGATTTTACTCCTTTAAGCCAACTTCTTAGCTATGGAAGAGACCCTTCCCTTTTACCCTTCTGGCACAGGTTTTGGGGTACGAACGTGGCCTTCAGCCCTCTTCTTCCCAGCATCACTCTGCAGGTCGCAGCACTGCTCACCACCACGCAGGATGCCTTTACCAGTTATTCTCTCACCAGAGCTACAGTACTTAGTTTAGAGGGTTTTACTGTACTTCCATGACATACAAATACCTTTGGGCTACAGGAGAGATACTTCCCCAGCAGGAATCTGCTGTGCCTTTCTTTATGTAGCTATAAATTAGGTCTCCAGAGCAAGATATTTTTTAGGGAAATGAGGCCTATTACCCTGGCTCTGTTACTTAAAAGATGCAACAGTTTACACTAGAGGATAAAAAGCCAGCTATGTTCTAAGTGAGTATTTAGGCAAAAGGAATTAGCAATGCAGGATTTAGCCCAAAACAGAGGTGATGGGGAGGCAGTGGGACTGGCGTAAGGACAAGGGCAAGGCTCCTGGACAGCAAAGCGGATGGGCAGCAGCAGTGAGCTGGGATGGATGCAAGGGGAAGGAGACCTTTTTTTGACAAATCAGGTGGACGTCACATGTGAAACTCAAGAGCTGCTCGAAAGCAAAGCTCAGCGAGATCCAACTTCTCACTTTCAGGTCTAGGACAACACTAGGACATCTCCAAACCTGCTATAAGACACTGTGAATTTTTAGGTTTATAACACGAGGGAGCTTTATTTGGGGACCAGGGGAGTATTCCAGCTTTCCCTACATGGGGATTATACTCCAAACATCTACTGACTGCCAACGCACCGGATTTCTGCCCTTCTCCAAAGCTGTCCTCACGCAGTGCCGGCATCAGAAGATCAGCTAGCACTGCCTGAGTGCACTTCTCGAGTTACGAAGATCCCATCTGTCACACTTTTAAATAATTGGCTGATCGTTATGAATTCATTTGGTATTCATTGTGATAATGTTAATCAAGATGAATTAATAGAGTCCTCATACTGTACGTGCTCCCTGGGGAATTCCACCACCATTTAGAAATTAATTAATGGACCTATAATTTTAGTGGCGCTGCCCACGCAATCACCGTTAACGGTAGGCATGAAGCAGGTACCTGATCACAGGATGTCAGTGCAGGCTACGGAGCTGAAGCATTACTGCTGATGTTCCCTTCCCTACAGACGTTGGCCGAGATGTTCTAGGGTCCGAAGGGAAAGCAGGTTTCCAGCTGCCGGTGCAAGGCTCTGGAGGCAATGCCAGGGTAATGGGATGCTCCACATTTATCTACACCTGCATTTCTCCCCTGGGAAGCAAGCGCTGCTGCTGAACACACAGGAGACTTCTTGGCTTCTTTTTAGTCACCTGAGTCTCCCGCGGCTGGAGATCAGACTTTCCTCCTCCTGCCGCACATCTCCCGTGGGATGCAGCACGCTCCACGGCTCTGCCCATCTGCAAAGCAGCCAGGGCAATGCCAGCCCACCCGCACATGAAGCACCGTGCCTGCCCCGTACCACTCGTCTTTAGAGGCATTTTCTGAACGTCTTGATCTCTCCATTTAAGACTAGAGGACTGCTGGGCCAGAAAGCTTCGTTTCCGAGCACCCAAGGGTTAAGTTCTTCAGGGCCAAGGAGGTCCCCTGGGTGCCTTTGCCTCCCAGCTTGCTGCAATCCCCCCCCCCGCTGCAATCCCCCCACACCTCCAGCAGAGACGGCTTTGACATTTGAAGACTCTGCGCGTCGTGGGTCCTTAGGTAACCCCGTAAATCGAGCATGGCAGGGTCTGCTCAACACTCGGCGCAGCTCCGGCGCTGCCCTATTTAATCAAAGCTCCAGACAAGACTAAGTGCTCTTCAAAGAGACCCAGGCTGGAGCGCTGCTCGCTGCAACCAGAGCGACTCGGCGGAGGGATGGGTTTATCGGCCGGTCAGGGAGGCAAGTGTGGCTCTGAAGATGTCAGGGGAGAAGGCAGCGGAGAACTGAGCAGCACCATGGGGTCATTTTCACATCGTGTCTGATAAAAGCCTGTTCTGCCAGCAGTTTAGAACAGATGCAGTCAGCATTTAAAAAGAGCATTTAAAAGAGGCACTGCCAGGGAGTTTTAGGTCCTAAATTTAAATTCCAGTAAGGGGAGAGATACCTTTTACGAGACTGAATTTCTTTCTTCTTCCCAATGAGAAAAAAATCCAGTATTGCTACTGCTAGGGAACGCTACCAAGTCAGAGCAGCCGGTGCTCAGCGCTGGTGCCCAAGCAACGGACTCTGACGAGAAGGACAATAATTCACTGAGTTTCCCTGCCCGTCCTGCGCGAGGTTTGCACTACAAACAGCGCGCAGCTGGGACACACGCAGGAGCCTCTCACCTCCCTGGCAGCACGGTGATTAGCAACCAGCAGATCAAACATGATCTCTGTCTTGCCAACGTCCCCTAATCAGCTCCACTTCTCCAGGATGCGACGTCCCGTGTTGCACGGAGAAAGAAGGGCCAAGCCGGGTGGCAGCATTTGTCACCCAAAACGCGCTCAGCCCCGACAGCTTTCGCACCTCTGCTTTGACGGGGCCCTGCAGGGAAAGGGAAGAGGTCGGTGTATTTGCCATCGCTGCTCCCAACACTGGACAGCCGGTGCGAAATGGGGGGTGCAAGTTCCAGGGCAGCAAATGACCCCATGAGCGCTGTCTCCTTGCGTTGCCCCCCCTGCTCCCCGGTCCTGTGCTCGGTGCCTCTGGGCACTGGCTCATTTACTGATGTGCAACCATCCATCATCTGGGTACCACTCTGGAACTTAGCGCTGTTCTGGAGCCCATAAGAGGCCCTGGCTGTGGCGCAAAAGCAAACTATAAATGAGACACGCACGTTTTTGGCACCCTGGCGCAGGCAGCCCTTGGCAAGGCTCGTGCTGGCTCTGGTGCACGTGGTGCTGCCGCGTTGCCAACAGGCAAGAGCCCGCTGGAGCCTCCTAACGAAGGAAAGATATCTGGCAGCACCCATGGGTGCTCGAGCCAGGCTCTCTCTGCCTTACCTTCTCGCTTCATCCCCATCGCGAGACACTTCTGATAGCGGCAGTACTGGCAGCGGTTGCGCTGGCGCTTGTCGATCAAGCAGTCCTTGTTGTCGCGGCAAGTGTAGGTGAGGTCTTTCCGCACCGTGCGCTTGAAGAAGCCTTTGCAGCCCTCGCAGCTGTAAACCCCATAATGTTTACCTGCGGGGGGGGATGCGACTTGGGTTAAAAAGACTCACTGAGCGTCCTGGGTGCCCCCAGCTCCCCGCTTTGCTCTCCTTCACCACAAAGACCATCAGCTCTTCCCAGGGCCTCTCCTAGCTGTGTCTGGGGGAAGCAGAGGTTTCTCGGAGCCACGAGCAGGAGCTAAAGAGCAGTGGCTTTGCCTTGACTTGACTTCCATAAAATCAGAATGCTCTCCATGGGCCACAACCTGCCTTATACCCAGGAAAAGCCCTCACCGTTTCTTAGCCATACATCAGGGGTGAGACAGCGCAGCAGTGAAATGGGGGGGACCCCCTGCACCCCCCACGACCCATCCGGACTCCCCACGCCAGACACGCGACGCAGCCTGCTCTGCACCATGCACCCACCCTCCTCTTCCAGCCCTGGAGCCTGACAGGCGCAGGAGGTGTCCCTAAGGACCTCACAAACTAGGTGACCAGAGCACTTCTGGAGCAGAGAGCTTTTGAAACAGCATAAGAATAAAGGGAATTAGCACATCTTTATCTCCCACGAGTGGAGAGGCTCCGTGGGAAGCGCATCTTTTTATCTGGTGCTGTGTGACAATACCGCTACGGATCAAAGGATGGGTAGAGAGAGGGATGCTCACTAATGCCTTGTCTTCAGACGGGCTGTGCTGCTCGGGGCTGAGGATATAACACCACTGCTAAGCAGAGACCTGGGGTCTCCTGGCTCGGCTCAGACCAGATGGGCTGGGGGAGGCTGGTCGATAAGGGACTTTTCATCCCCTCCTCGGAGGGCACGGGCAGCTCCTCTCCCGATGGAGAGTCCCCGCTGGCACTGGCTGTGCCGCAGGGTGCCGGGGAGCCACGCAGACCCTCGCCACGCTCTGCCAGGGCACCCACACGCCAGCGTGGCCCCAGCACGCTGCTGGGAGCCCCTCCTGGGGCAGGCATCAGCCTTACCTGAAGATCTGTCCCCGCAGATGGCACATATGTGCTTGGTGAAGGAGGCCATCGTTCCTGAGGGATGTGCTGGCACTTTGAGGACTCCGTTGAGCCCCAGGGGTGGCTTAATGTCTTCTGAGCTGCTGACGGGGTTCATGGGTGAGTTGAGCTGTCAAGACAGAAGCACAGTGCTCAGCGGGGAGCCGTGGATGTGGGGCCGAGCCAGCTCCACAGCAGGGCTTGCCCGTGTACTCAGATGTGGGGCAGGAGGGCCAAGCAGGGGACAAGGTTCCAATGGGGACAAGTACCGTTTAAAACACCAACCCACAAAGCTAAACCAAGAGGAGGATTTGGGCACATGAGTCCAGAGACCAAAGGCACAAGCGCTCATCTGCTGCCCCGGCATAAAAGCCGGTGCGGCTCTGAGCTGGCAGAAGGATGCTACTGGGTCTCACTGCCAGCACTGGGGCAGAAGGAGCAGGACACGGCAGGTCCCCTGTGCCCTGCCAGGAGCCAGGCAGGGCTGACACAGCCCGCCCCACGAAGGATGCTCCTGCACGATTTAAGGGGAAGGCGAGTTCTTCCTGCACTGCCAGACCCCCGCGCATGGCACAGCCACGGCAAGACCCCCCAGGGCCAGGCACTCGCAAGCCAACCCCGGCTTCACGCCGCCTCGGGATGCAGAGCAGGGAAGATGATTTGCAGCGATGGTTCGTGGGAGAGCTGCTGGCTGGGAGCGAGCGCTTGCATGGATGATGAAGGCCAGGACACTCGCGCTTTAGCTCTACAATTTATAGACATCCTTTTAGCATTATCTCTCCAAAGGAAAGCTTCACAGCAAATAAATAGATCCCAGATGCAATGAGGCCTGGCTTTCCAGAACTGCCCTGGGTGGGACACTTGTCTGCAACTTCCAGCCTTCCAGCAGCCTGTCCACACGCCTCTCCTTCCCTCCCCAGTGAGCTCGGTCCCCAACACTCACTGAAGAAAGTGGAGAATTGCGTGGAAGCTGGGTGCTGGCGTGGCCCTGAGGTGCTGGTATTAAGTGAAGGATTCCTGAGTTGATCCCCACATCGCTCCGTGCAGCAAGGCAGGGCTGTTATTCCCCCATGTACAGAGAGAAACCGAGGCATGGAGATGTAGGACCGACCCATCGTGATAAGGGAGACCAACTCACAGCAACCCTGCCCAGCCCAGGGCAGGTTCAGGGAGGTCTGGGGGTGGACAAGGGAGCCAGGCTCGGTCAGCTCCAGATGCAGGACCGGCCAGGACCGCTGCGGCCGTCCTCCTGGGGACCAGCCGGCCAGGGACTGTCGCAGAGCCTCTGTCCCTGCCAACATCTAAATCCAGGTTGAATACACAGGATCTGTGCTTCGGTTTGTTGTGTTTCTCTTCCCTAACACAGATACTCAGCAATTGCACTTGTCACAGATTAATTCAGGGAAGTCCCAGGGCTTGTGATCTGTCAATTAGAGGAGCACAGCCGTTCTTCTGGCTTTAAAGTCTCCAGGCTGGTGGGGAATATTTGGCAGGCAGATGACTAATAACCGCAGAACAGAGCAAGGTAAACCCACCCTGGAGAAATGTGATGGATCTGCCTCCCTCTCCAGCCCTGCCTGTGCCAGCTGATGAATCAAAGGCAGCCAGGACCCGGTGCCGCTGAGGGATACGCTCCTGGGCTTTAGCTGCTGTTCAGTTATGCTGCGACAGGGCAGAGAGAGGAGGGACGAGCAGGTCCCCGGCAGGAGCATCTCTCTTTGGGATCTGTGGGTCCCCAGGCACAGAGCCTCTCTCTGCGAGCAGGGGGGCTGCCAGCGCTGCTGCGGCACATCCCTCCACAGCTTCGGGGTCACCAGCTCCAGCCATTCCTCCCAGTGCACTTTCTGGGAAACGGAGCCGGTGCCGCATGGGAGCGAAGGCAGAGGCCGTGGGCTGCCTGCTGAAGATAAGCTTTTCGCCACCACTTCCCCCAGCCCCAGCAGCCCACAGGGTCCGCCCAAGCAGCCCCCCCAGAGCATCTGGGGGGGGATGACGATGGGCAGAGCAAGATGGGGCAAGCGCTGCACCTTGCCCCTGCACCAGCCCGAGAGGGTGCTGGGTCCCACCGCCCTCCGCAGCCCCGTCCATCGGCAGGACACCCCGGTCGGAGCTGAGTCAGCCCCGGGTTGGGGTGGGGGAAGTCATCGGTTCCTCTCGCAGCGCTGGCCCAAAACCTCAGCGGAGGCACCGTGTGCACCCAAGGGTTCCCACATTGCCCTGGCGCCTGCCCCGTGCTTTCCCCTCCGTGCCGGCAGCCGCCGAGCGAAACCGGCAGCACGTGCAGGCAGGGAGGGAGGCAGAAGGGGAGGCAGTGGCCCCCCACTTTGGCACGGCACTTCTGCTCCGGGGCAGGACAACTCTGGCTCAGCAAGCGAGCAGGAACGAGGGAGGAACCAGTGCTCTGCTTCCCCAGTGATACTGGGACTCCTTGGCTCCTCTCCCTTCCCTGTTCAGTTCATTGCACCGGGGACCAAATCCTGTCCCTTCTGGCAAGCAGAGCTTTATTTCTCCTCCCATCCAAAAAAAAACCACCAACCCCTTCTCCGGTCCCCCAGGCACCCTTACAAAGAGCACTGTGCAAAGGCAGAGAGCGGCTCTGGAAAAGCTTAATCCGGCGTCTGATCTCTCCCCGCTAGCCCCCGGGCGCCCCGAGCTGCTGCCAGCAACGCCTGGGGCGGCTGCACTGGCGCAGCCCTGCGAACTGCGGGGAAAGTCCCTCCCTTTCAGCTGTTACTGCAAATCCTGCTTTTTTCCCCCTGCTTTCCCAGAATTTGTAGGTAAGAGGGTTTAAATATGTGTTAAATCCCAGTAAGCGGCAGAGCTGCTGGGTCTAGCCTCCTGGTCTGGCTGGGATCTTGCTCACCACTGCAAACTACCCCTGCTTTCAGCCGGCTCCTGCCCCACACACCTCACCCCCGGCCCAGCATCCCTTCCCCGAGGGGCCCTGGGAGCTCCTTCGGTGCTGGGACCCTGCAGAAGGACACCCTGCTTCGCACCCAGATTTTGGGGCTGCATTTGGAAACCGTGCGAGGTCCCAGAAAGCGCACGGTGTCAGAGAGAGGGTGCTGGCAACGCTCCGAGCATCCTTCAGCGCTGGCACCAAGGGCTGCTGACTCCTGACATCCACCGGACCAAACAGGAGAGGGAAAGCACCCCGGCTTTTGGGAGCCTGCCAGCTCCTTCCCACCCCGGTGCCGTCAGGAGCTGGGATGGAGAGGACCCACCCCGCGGGACCCACCGCACCTCGCACACCCCGTGCCCTTCTGCTCTGCTGGTTTTCCAGAGGTGACGAGGCATGTCCTGATGGCAAGTGGCATCTGCCATCTGATTCAAACCATCTTCCATCAGTGCCATCCCCACCCAGCGACGGGGGCCACACGCCTCATTACCCTCGGCGCTTTGCCGACCGGTGCAGCGGCACGGTGGGGGGGCTGTGCTCCCCTCCAAGCATCGGCCTCGCTGCCCACCCGCACCCTCCTCCTCCTCCTCCTCCTCCTCTCACGCTCCTCCACCGGTCCAGGTAGGCACCTCTGCCCGCTGCAGGGACAGGGGACGGGGACAGGGACCTAATGCGCCCAGACAGGGAACAGATGGCAGGAGCCATTAGGCTGAAGACCTCCTAACTGTCACCTCTAGGAAAACCACTTAAGACAAGTCCCTGAACAAAGGACGGGCGCTCACACCGCGCCGAGAGGGCTGGAGCTGCCGCGCTGCTAGCTCGCTCCCTGGCACCATCTGACCACGCTCTCGATTCCCCTTTCTGCCCTGTGGCTGCGTTTTATTTCAGTTCCCCCGGCTCGCCGGTCCCTAAAGCAAAGCGTGCCTTATCATTGACGCTGGGGGTGCATCGCCCCTGCCCCGTTTCCTCCCCGGCTTGCGGCTCACCCCTGTGTTGCTTCACATCCCCCCCTTCCCACTCCTTCCCCACCATTTTGGCGCTCTCGCTGCTAATTTTGCGCTGGCAGCCCGTTCCCAGGCGCCATTTCAGTTCCCCTTCCCTCGCCCATGGGACGGCAGGCAGCGTGTCCACCCCACTTATCTCCCGCACCAGTTAGCCGGACCCAGTCGCACTGGGCTGTGGGGTGCATGTCCCCGCGCATCTACGGGGGCCACGGGCCGGATCCTGCATGGGAGAAGCCCATCAAATGGCAAATAAAGCTGCCCCCTCTCTGGCCGGCACAGGGATGCTGGGGTCCTGGGGAAGCTGCCTGGGGGTCCCCAGGGATGGGACTCAGCACAGCACAGCCCTCCCCAGCCCTGGGCAGAAAGACCTGTTATCTCTGGAAATAAATGAGGCCAATATTTAAAAATAAAGGTGCTGGCAGGTGCTTGACTCCCAGAGAGGGCCTGGAATAAATAAACCCGCAGCAAGTGGCAGGTGGTGGCCAATTCCTTAATCTGCCCTTTTACTAAACATATACCATGCGAGCAGCCAGCAACAGGTGGCAGGGGCTGGTCAGCGTGCCCCGATCTTGCTATTTTTAAGAAGAGCTTATCTCTCTGTAGTTGGAGGTTTTTTACATAATCTTCAGCCAGCGAACGCCAGTCCTTCCCCTGCGAGGAGGAAGGGGCAGCAGGCAGGGGACCCCTCGGTGCGTGCCCTGGGGACCACGGGTCGGCCCCGGAGGGGACGTGCCGCTTCGCAGGGAAGGGACCGGGACAGCACGGGCGAGAAGCGTGGGATGCAGACAATCCCGGGGGGCTCCGGCCCCTGCCAAAGCTACACCAGCCCCCAGGTGACCCAGGGGTAGTCGCTGCTCCCCTTTCACCCCCAGCCTGGGGACAAACAGGGCAGGACCAGAGGGGACAAGCGATGGGAGGTGATGGATGGCCGCACTCCAGCTGTGCCGGTCCCTCGTAGCCCACCCAGGGCAGCCCCAAAGGCGGCTGCAGCCACCCAGCTCTGGCCAGAGGAGCAGGATGCCTCCGGCTTAGTTTCCCCCTTGGGCTTCTGCTTTTTGCCTCCCTTCGGTGCCTGCCGGTGATGGCGTTTATCTCCCTGTGCTTGCCTGGCCAGCGCAGTGGGGAGACTGCAGCCGGTTCTGGATCAGGAAACCCACGGAGGTGACTTCTCCCCAGCTAAACGGGCAGCAGGGATGTCCCCACCACCGTCGCCTTACCTGTGGGCTGCTGGTGCCGAATCCCAGGCTGGGGGTGGAGGGGACGGACATTGAGTGCGGGCCCATGGGCGAGCTGATGACGGAGAACGGAGGTCCCATGCCATTGATGGGCGAGCTCAGGGTGCTGATGGGCGAGTGGAGCTGGCCCGGGGAGCCCAGCGAGGAGCCGATGCCCGGCCCGATGGACGGGTGGAGGGATGGGGTGGCCATGGGCCCCCGGCTCGTGGGAGAGTTCAGGGATGTGGAATTGACTTGGTTGGAGAAATCTGTAAGAGAGGAAAGAGAGAAACGGGGCTGAGTGGCCGGTTCAGGACAGGCTCTGATGCATCGCCGCAGCAGCCCCCCGCTCCTCGCCCTGCAGACGGGGCTGCTTTTCAACCTGCGCCCGAAATTCCCAATGCACCCTCCATCTTTCAAAACCACCTTCTGCTGGAGCACCTACACAGGCGTTAAGACAGAGAGCATCTCCACCTCGAGAGCCAGTCATCACTGGCTACTACATCTCGCCCACCCACTGTATCCCGGCTCTAAACTCTGCCACGCAGGCAGCATCGCTGATGCACGGGTAACAACCCCACCGCGGGAGCAGACGGATGCCCTCCACGCTACAGGATAATTCAGATTTATCACAGCATCAGAGGGCCAAGCCAGGCACGGGGAACACGGAGGGGCTGCGTGCCCAGCAGCCCCCACACGCTGTGACGGTGGGGAGGGTGTTTCGGCGGCAGGAGCGTGTTTGTGCGTCGCACGCTGGATTTGTGCGTCCATCCAGGGCGCGAGCGTGCGGTGGGGAAGCCTGCGTGTGTCAGCAAGGAGGAAGATGCCGGCCTGCTGCGCGGGCAGCGGCGGACAGGCTGCGTCTGCCTGCGCCCCAGCGGCTCCGTCGTCCCGTGGGAGCGGGAGGAGGGAGAGCGGGAAGGGGGGGGGGTTGTTAAAAATAGACTCCGATTCTCCCGAGAGGGGACATGGAGCCATTCCTGGCACATTTCCTCTTCATCCTGTCACGCTGCTTGCAAAACAATCCTGAGTGAGGAAGGGGCTGGCTCGTGGTCCCCGGGCGGGCTGCGAGGAGGAGCTGCTGGAAGGCGGTGGGGGCAGACGGGCAGGGGCCCCACGGCATTGCCACCGCTCGCCCCGACACCCGCTGGGATCCCCCCAGTTCACACCAGCAAACACGGGCCCAGAGAGGGAGAGGCACCGGCACGGCCGCTCAGCCAGGGGCTGTTCGCGTCGGGTTCTGGGAGCCACTGCTTTTGGCTACAGACCCCAAAGTTAACTAAATTCTGGGAAATATTGTCTCCAGTCACCTGCATGGGTCAGTTGTCTCGCCAGGATTTTGGAGCAAGTAGCACACAAATGTTACACAGTGGGAAACATGCTTGCTGAACCCATAGCAAGCCCAGCCCCGGCAATCTTCCCTGGAGATCACTGATCCCGGTGGGAAAACCCCAGCACGAGGAAGCGAAGGCCCAGCAAGGCAGCGATGCTCCTCTCGCAAAGCTCTGCAGCCAGCATCCCACTGCTGCCCCCAGCATCCCACTGCTGCCCCCAGCATCCCATCACTGCCCCCAGAGTCCCGTCGCTGCTCCCAGCATCTCATTGCTGCACCCAAAGTCCCGTCACTGCATCCAGAGCCCCATCGCTGCACCCAGCATCCCACCGCTGCACCCAGCATCCCACCGCTGCACCCAGTATCCCACCATGCACCCAGCATCACGCTGCTGCACCCCACGTGGTCACACCTCCTGCCCTGGCACCTTCCTTCCAGCCTTGATGCATTCAGCCCCATCCTTGCCTCACGAGGGTGCCGCTGGGGTACAAAGACCCCCAACAGGTTTCCCCGCCGCAGAGCCATTGCCATGGGCAGCCGTGGTGTCCTGGCACCCAGAGTCCCCCGCAGAGCATCCCCCCCGTGCAGCCCAGCCGTCCCTGATGTAGGCATAACAGGATTACACACGCCACAGGAGAGGCTCGCTCTGTGCGTGGATAATTCCTTAAAGTCCCAGACAAGAGCCAGAAGCGGGATCCCCAGGGCGGGGGACAGAGGAGGCGAGGGGGCTTGGCTGCAAAAATGGGGATTAGGCTCCAGGGCTGGGATGTTGCCAGCTCCCTCCGCACGGGTGTCCTGTCCCATCTAGGACCGGCAGAGGGGACACGTGCCCAGACCCTGTGCTCCAGCCAGGTGCCACCATCCATGCCGAAACCGAGCCTGCGTGCCGGCACCGCCGGTCCCGGCAGGCGTCTCTGTGGCCGTGGCGAAGGCGAGCATCTCTGTCCCTGGGGGGCTGGCCTCGCATCGGCTCTCGCAGGATGTTGATATAAAACAACCGCCGGCCACCACGTCACCCGTGGCTGCGTGACGTGCGGGCGGCACAACAGGAACCCCGGGAAATTCCTCGAGGCTTCGGGGTCTAGCCCGGCAGGACGGTGCTTCCCAGCTCTCTGCTTTTTGGCGTCTTTAAACAGCCGGGAGGAGGAGCGGGGCTGCTGCGGTGTGTTCTGGCAAGCCATGATATGGGCTGTGCCCCCCGCCACCATCTCGGGTCCGGGGGTAAAGGCAGGAGCTCATTCTGCAGCAGTTGTGTGTCTGGGTACGGGGTCCCAGCCAGCCCTTCTCTGAAGGACCCCCCAGAAACACCCATTTCATCCCCCAAGGTGATGAACGGAGACCTTCCAAGGATGCGCTGGATCCTCCGGCCAGGGGAAACAGGCACTTGACCTGCCGGCAAAGGGAAGGCAGCGAAGCACAGTCCTTCCTTTTAAAAGATCCTGAATATTTAAGGCAGGAGAGGTCACAGGCAGGTTACTGGCGATGGGCCCGTGCCTACTCAAGCACATCAGAAAGCAAAGCACGTGCAGGGCCGGCACCTCTCCTAAAACACCCATTCCCTGGGTACCACGGGAGCTCCCCATCCCCGGGCACCCCGCGCCTCCCAGCCGGCTCCCCTCACCCATCCTGTTTACACGCTTTGCGTTCCCAGCAGACACCATCCCCGGCACCCAGCGAGGAACTGGGTGTGTGTGGTGGGGCCGGTCTGGAGAAAATAATTCTGGCAACAACAACAAAAAGGAAAGGAGGCGAGAGGAGGACTAACCGCGCATTGAATGGGCCCGTCGGGGAGAAGTGTGTGCAGGCGTGGACACATTTGGGCGTGTTTTTCACCCAAAACCCTTGGCCAAATGCTCTGAAATCTGAACCAGACCTGAACTCCTTCAGAGCATCGTGACTCGAAGTCCAGTTCAAAGCAACCCCTTGGACACCGGGATGTTCCCGCTCCTCATCCAAACGCTTCCTCCTTTGCAGCCCCAAACCCCGCTGTAAGAGCAGCAGCAATGGGAAACATTTACCTCCAAACAACTGGCAAATATGGAAAAGGGTTTGTTGTTTTTTTTTCCTTAGCAAAATCCACCTGAGGCAACTTAGAGCAGATGCTGCCAGCCCCCAGCTCAAAGGGGAATGCTTCCAGCAGGAAGATGCATTTGGGAAAATAATGACTCAAGGTGGAGAGATGGGGATCCGGAGCGGGACATGAGAAGTCTGCCCTCCTCACTCATCACAAGCACGCTATTGGACCTTGAATGCTCAAGGAGCACTAGAAAAAAATAAATTTAAAAAGGAAAAAAGCCTAGATTGAGGCAATATCCTTAACAGAAACAACTAAGCCACCCAAACTGATGGATACCACTTGGACTGCAGCAAACAGGGGAGGTATTTTCCCAAACACATTTTCAGTTCAAGCAGTGTGAGACTATTCATTTTTCTTGCGCAGTTTTGCCATTTAAAGCTGTTGTGTGTGACTATCTCTTGACCAAAATAAACTCTGTGCCTGTTTCTAAATTAAAAAAAAAAAAAAAGTTCTCAAGGCATTTCCCCTCTTGCCGCACCCATAAATTGCAGCTATTTTCTCTGTGTGTCCTTTGTTTAAACACAACGACCTCTATATATCTTATAAGATGCCCCATGGCAGTTGGGAGATCGGAAACGAGAGCTCTTCAGCAGCTAAAGAATTTGCAATGAAGCTCTTTTTCTTTCTCTAAACTACAAACCCGCGAGCTACAAAATTTGGATGGGAATTTTTCCCGAAGAATAAGCCATTTAGGGCCAGGGCCACATGATCCATCTCAAGCGATTGAGTTATGTGGCTGTATGGAGCCATGTGCGTGCTTTCAGCTCTCCTCGGCGGCAGAGGAACACGCCTCAGCTGAAACCATCGCACGGAGACTAGAGCCAGCGGGTTTTGATCTGGCCTCGAGATAAGGAGCCTGGGTCTTGTTTTTCTGGCATGGTGCTCATCGCTGCCCTTAGCAGATACCTGTCTTTGCAAGATGGCTTTTGGATGCCATCATCCCTGCTTCGTAGGTGGGGAAACTGAGGCACAGGGACAGCAATGTCCCCGACGAGGCAGCAGCCCCGCTAGCAGACACAGACGGCACAAGCAGGGCACGGGCTTACGTGACCTTCACCAAGGTCACGTGGGAAATTGGAGCCAAAGCTGGGAATAGATCCTGGCTATTGCAAGACCCAGGCTAGCATCTCAACTGCTGAATCAGCCTTCCCCGGATTTTTTTTTTTCCCCCCTCCTGGCTCCATGGCAGACAGCACTTTTTTACTATTATTAATTTTCAATAAAGGAAGAAAACATCTTTACAAAACACTTGTCCCCATTCTCATCCAGCTGCATTAGACACTGAGAGCAGTGCAGACAAATACCAAATGTCCCTGGGCAGCTTCACTGCTATTTTCCATCCCCTTGGCATTCTTGGGGCCAACAACAGAAACCTCCAGTTAGGACCAGCAAACATCCATGTCTGGATGCAGCCCAGACGGGCAGGTTGGACCTCCCGGGAACAGCAGTTGCTGAAAAGCATCTGACCATGCCACCAGCCCTTGCAATACTTTCCTGTTGCATTTTATCATCCAGTGCATGGGACTCTTCAAGTGTTGCTGCTTGGCCGGGGTGGGTACGTCTGCAGCAGCCCGACAGCTAGCAACAGCTTTTGCTGGTATGGCAATATCTGCGATTTTAACATTTCTAGACCACAAAATGTCCCAGAGCAGAAACAATTACAACAGCACAGAGGTGCTTTTTTCCCAGGATAGCTCATTTGTACCAGAATAAACTGTACCAGCATAAGCTTTCACCAGTATAATCTTCATTTATGCTTAAGAGGCTTTGCCAGTAAAACTACAGTGACCTAGCTCTGCTGGAAAACCTTTTCTCGCATATCCAGGGAGTTTACTCAGCAGCTCGGTGGCTCGGCAGTC